CTGCTAATAGTGATTCTTTTCTCCTAGGTGTACTTGTAATGCATATGGTGAATGCAATGAAGCAGTAGGCGATAATTTGTTGCCATGCATCTGTGTACCAGACATAAGCGACAAATACCCTTGCCTGAAAATACCAGCACCTGAAACTAATGGAGAGGCTCAAAGTCAAAAAAGCGTCACTGATCGGTTTGCCAATAGGCTGGTTAAAGTCTGGGAAATTCAGACAACAAAATCACCCGCTTTTGAAGAGGCTGACGAAGACAATTTTGATCTTCGGGTACAAGCTGTTTAGAATATTCTTAAATCTGGTTAAACAATTAGTTTGCTCAAAATAAGTTTTGATAACCTTGTAGGAATAAATACCAAGAGTCACCTTTCTCTTCAGGTTTACATTTTACCTAACTTTTTCGATAGGATTCACCAAAAATTGAAACTTTTACAGGTAGACTCAGACTTATCTTTGAAAATGAAGGCTGCCGAAAAGGTTAAGCACGCTGTCAACAACCTTACTGAAACGCAAAAAGTTGCTCTTTCATATGCCAAAGAAGAGTTTATAACAAAGTGCTCTTTCAACGGTCGCGCATGTTCTGTTGAAGAGTAAGTTTAGGGAAAATCTAATATACTTTTCGTTTCCCGCTGTTGTCTATTATACTTCCACTGCCCTTGGCCATTCTTCTAATTCAATTATCATTTTTTTATCCCTAATAACTGCAAATTTTAAATGATTTTTGTGCCTCAGTTTCTAATTTTGCTTACTACAGTTACCTTCCTTTCATACCAATTTAAGATGCAGTTGTCTTGAGGTAAAATGCAAAAAGTTAGTTCTTATGGGCTTTATCGCTAATGCTGTTTTATCTACAGGGATTTCTCAACTTATATTGACCCCACGTTTGGGAATTGTTTCACTTTTAATTATAATGCATCTCGGAACATGACGAGTGAAAAAGCTGGCAATGCATACGGTAATCTTACAAATAGAACTCAAAAGCATACAGTGCCCGATTAGGACTTCGTTTTCAGGTATTTGTTAATGTAAGTGAATATTTGCCGACTACCGAATCGGCCGGTGTCAGAATAACTGTACATGATCAAGATGAGCAGCCATTTCCTGACACGCATGGACATAGTGCTCCAACGGGTTCCGTATCTTCATTTGGCATTAGACTGGTTATTATTTTTTCTCCCTTTTGTTGTCAGAAAGAGAAAATCGCTTTTCCAAAGTGCCGTTTGGAAATTTGATGAAGTTTCCAATAATTTTTTATGGATAAAGTACTATACAAAATATTTCCAGAAGCGTATCATGAGATTATCGCATCCATATGGTGACTGTATAGACGACAAATTAGCAAGGACCGACGAGTACATCTATCACAACAAAACGTACACCACCGAGGTTCTTACTTTGTTAAGGAGAATTATAGAAGTTTAGAAAATAAGAAAACTTCTCTAAAAATTAGTCTAGAAGTAAATTTGAACGTATTCTGATTTGACAACCGTCCTTAAGCATGAACATTTCGACAGCAAGTAAATTAAGACTGGCTGGAGAAAAAAAAGACTCCATTTAGACTTTCGTCTTCGTTTTTTCCTTTATAAAAACTATTAGATTGGTAAAGAGTTTTTACTCCTTGCAGCTGTCTTGCCTTCCGCTGTCTTCCGAACTTTTAAAATGCTATTTACAACGCCAATTTTTCCTGATTTAGAGTGCTTCATGACTTTTAACAGATCTTAAACAATTTTTTGATGTTTTTTGGTTAGAGTAAGGCTTAGCGGCGACTTCAGCAATTATGCTAGTTTCTTCAAGCGTAAAATAAATTTTTGGAGAGCTCAGCAAATTTGCCGATCCTTTGAATAGCCAATTCTGGAAAAATCTTCTGATTTATTTTCGACCCAAGAATTTCCAGAATGGTAAAATATAGATGAAAAAAGAGGATGGTGAGGGTTTGCCACAACAGTGGAACATTTCTCATCAGATACTAGCGCACATTTGACGAAAATGCGGAAATTAGACAAGCACCAAAAACTGTGATCACTGCCGTCCGGTAAAGAGAGCCTGTGCTGTCCCAGAGCGGTTGTCGGTGAAAACTCTTTTTTGTTAGAAACTAAGGAGCCAATTTGCTTTTTCAACTTCCTTTCATCAAGCACTCCCAGCAAACGCCTGCCTCACCAACTGCTTCTTTTTTAAAGCTGCGCCTTGATTTAACTTCGGAATCTTAGGTGACCTTAAACAATGAATACAGCATTATTCTGCAGTAAAAGTTACTCAGTAATAATTTTGCTGATCGTGTGTTGCACAAGGATGGTGAATGCCCCCACAAATAATGAGTTGTTTTTTCAAAGTTTCATCTCTTCAGAGAAATAAACGAAAGTTTCAAGCTGTAAATTAACTAATCTTGTAATTAATTATACAAAGAAGGATACTCCTAGGAACAACCGCTAAAAACCTCACACCAGAATTTTTTCTCACGTGTAGGGGATACTTTAATGTGCTACACTTAGATGGTTTGTTTCAGGGCTGTCATAGAAGCTGCGTGCAAAAATATTTCGCCAACAAATGTGGATGTGGCGACCCAAGATTTCCGCCCTACAAAAATTTTCCAAACTGCCCATATGATGATTTTGAGAAAAGTTCTCCTCAAACTTCACGTTGAAAGTATAGTGATTAAATTAACTACTTTTTTTTTTTTTAGAAAAATGCCTACGCGAAGGGATTTTGTTTGTTGCTACAAGTATGGAGAAGTTGCGATGTATGTGCTTTCAACCATGCAAGTTCGTTGATTTTTTATGAAGACATTTTTACTTACAAAACAACCACTGAGTAAACTTGCCAACAAGCATCACTCACTGCCCTTCAAATTTAGTTCCTGGCATCAATTCAAAAACCCAGCCAGTTTTCTCTTAAGAAAAGGCCGTGGGTAAGCTTTGGAAAACTAGAGTACATTCTGGACATCACTTTGTCTCACTCCTAATTGTTTCTTTTATTTAGGCAGCAAGTGTATTCTGTATCTTATTCAGCGTCGAGATGGCCTGCCGGACCTCGTTCAATGCCTGATTGCATATTCTCCCCATCACCGGAGGACTGTTTAAATTACTACAGAGAACATGGAGCTCTTATAGAAGTTTTCTTTGAACAGCTCAACTACGAATCCCTTGTAGAGGGGGAAGCCTACGGAGCAAGTTATTTCTGCAAATAAATTTAGGCTGTGGTCATCGCATGTAAACAAACTGTGGCCTCAGCAACTGGCCATAAAGCATTTGGTGAGGGTTAGTAAAATTGATTTTTCAGTTTTCAAATCTCCTATCTGACTTTGGTGGTCAGTTTGGTTTATGGATGGGTGTCAGTGTGATAACTTTAATCGAGTTTGGAATTCTTGCGGCTGAGGTTATCATGAAAATATCATGTTTTGGCCTACCACTCAGCAAGCACCAGACTCCAGATCTGAATGAACGCATTAATATGGCGGATGGTGACGCCAAGATACTGCCGAAGAAGGGCAAGAGAACGACTATCCGAACTGGGAGAACTAGAGAGAAAAGTTAAGTAAAGGACGGTCGAGAAAACAAGTTTAAATTTCAGAAGAGCTTTAAAAGAATAATGGTACCGGGTATATACAGTAATAATACAGGCTTAATCCAACTGTTCACTGTTTAGTTTTTAACGGTAGGATCAAATCTGCTCGTCACCAACAACTCAAACCTTGTGATAAATTTTGAAAGTACGGAACAAAATTAACATAACTCGAAATCAACGTCTTTTCCAACAGTTCAAGTACAGCTGTGAACTCGTACAGTGAAGGCAAA